TGTATCAGGATCCGATAGGATAGACCTAGGACTCGGTCGGGAACAACCAAGTTGTTTACCACCAATACGCTCTGTGGATTGGGGTTGCCAGTTCCCATAATCCAAAAGCAGACTACTCGAGTTGAACGACTCTGCAAAATATTACATGACGATTGGTACTAAAAAAAATATAAGGAACTGTTTTTGAGAAGCGGTTTGATTAGCAAATGAAACAGTCTGTAGAGATGCACATTCGAATTGGTTTATCTCTGTATTAACTAGAGGGCGAATGGCTTTGCTACCATTTAGGGCAGTATCAACTGGGTCGATGAGCCGCGACATCATTGGCCGAGAGTGATTATTCTATTTCTTTTTTCTAATCGTCTCCAGATCCTCCTGACCAAGGGGTTCTAATTCTCCATGATCAAAATCATCAGATATTTGTAGGCATAATTAATTAAAAATCACACACAATGAAAAGAAAGATTGTAGACCACTTACCAATTCGAACAGACAGATAACTGTAGTGAGGACAGGTTCGGTAAGCGGGACAGGTGACGGTGGAGGCCTGATAGTGCCCGCAACTTCTTCTACAGTGGTTGTTCTAGCTGACTTGCGGGTTTTGTTTTCATTCGCAATCTCTATATCCTCATACTCCCAAAACGCCTCCTCCAACGTGTCCCAATCAAGATCTGAGAGAAGCGAACCTTGTGAATGGGATTCCGTAGCCTTGGCTGAGGTTCGCTTACGTGTCAGTTCGCAAAGCAACAGAGACAAGAAAAGGTTGGTATCAGGACGTTTGCAGCTCCCAGCTCGGATGGATTCTGTATCGATAGTAACTGTGAGACAGTAAGCCAGTTGTTTCAGAAGCTGATCCAGCGGGGGGGGGGGTGAAACGGAGTGGAGAAAATATTATGAAACAATTGTGGTTAGACAAACTGTGCATTATTCTCTCAGAAAAAAATGAAATAGCAAATCAAACACCCGTGCAAATGGTGCTATATGTCCTGATCTAGTTAGCGTTATAATGGTAAATACGCGAATTAGGAAGCAAACAAGACAGACATCTCAACTGATAATACGTTCAGTTCACAGCATTCAAAAAAGTGATAATTTGCAAGCAATGTTATCCCGAACGAATGATGGTTTCAAATATTGTTCAAAAGGTAACGCCGTTTTGGTTCATGTTTGTTGAGGGAGGGAGGAGGAGTCAGTGCTTTACGGACTAGAATTTTAATTTATAAATCTTTCCAAACTTGCGAGATCCCAAATCAAACATGTTTTTCAACTACCAGTTTAGGTTGTTACGATCATATAGGTTGATTCGGTGAAGGAAACATTTTCCTCACTAGCTGGCACAGTTATCACCAGTCAAAGTTGTTGCAAACAATGTAAGATATTATAATTCAACTGACAGTATCCAGGGGCACATCTGCAGCTAGTTGATTTGTCTAACACATGTCTAGCCGGAAATCATCCAAATTAACACGATCGTACCAATGGCTGATCAATAAAACGGAAACCTGACCACTGCGAACCTAGTAGAGCAATCCGGACAGTTGTGATGAGGGTAATGTGATTGGCCGATTACTGATAAGAACAGATGAGAGAGAGAGAGAGAGAAAAACTAGCTCTAACAAGTCAATCTTAACAGTTTCTAGTTCACATTTATTCTCCCCGAATAGTCATGATCGTGCGCATCAGCTCGTCCTTGCTCCGTGATGGAGACACGATCAATGCACACAGAAGCCAAGTGTGAAATACGTACAAAACCAATTGCATGAACATAAAGAGGCAATCGAATGAGGGATCGTGGAATCGAATTTGAAGTTTTGGTTTTTCAGGTCGAACAATCAAATAGACACCTCAGAAATTGTGAATCTTTGCAAAAAACAACTGAAGTCTGCAATACTTCCTTGACCTCTATGCTGCTAGGAAAAAAGATCAGAGAACGGCTATATTGTTATCCACTGCGTATGCGTGAAAACTGTGATTGGCTGGCTAAGACGGGGACAGGTTTTCTGATCTGTCTTTTGGATGAGACCGTTGGGATCAACCGAGACAGTACACAGAGCCGTATGCTACTCGATCCGTCTCCCGGGGTTGGTGACCAGTCTACTGATGGATTGAGAAAACAAGGTGAGCCTTAACGCACTCTGAATAAATGTTCGCGGATGATCAATAGTAGGGATCTAGGACAGGAACCGCCTCGAACGGGATGTGAGAAAAACGAGGCAGCAAAAAGAGAACCTAGACAAAACAGACTCATAATCGATGGGTATTAATCACCACGGTGCTATTATATTGCGCTTCGTTGTATGATGTACCAATGTTCACGTATTATGTAATTTCCTGAGTGACATTCACAAAACAAGAACACAGAATAGGCAAGAATAAAAAACGCATGACTCGCTTTATTCAAGTGTCTCGTTTGATTTGTTACAAAAACCAAGATAGATAGATAGATGACCCACGCGTGGATTACACATCTGTATGTGATAAACAATGAAAGGTATAAATCTAGTTGTCATGATAACCAATAATCTGAACCCTGGAACCTGGTATCAAGACCCATTTAACACCCCGTATCAGACTGTCACATTTTTGATACCGAAAACACTGCTCGTCAGAATGGCATCTGGGTGCTGAATAGTGTCAAATATAGAAGGAGCATTAGCACGACAGATAGAGGGAGAGTGTACAGCATACATTGGAATCATTTGGAATGGCTTAGGGAGAGTCCAGATTCGCTAAGGAAGCTGTAATAGGGAGACAACTTATTTGAAAACATAGCGACTTCAAACTGATAAAAAACGATCAGTGGCAAAAAAAACAGATCATTTCCATGCAGTAGACCAGTGCATAGATTGCACTGACACGGTTATAGTTATTTCCAGAGCAAAGAAAGCAAAAACTATAATTAATACAAGTAAAATTTATAAACTGTAAACAAAATTCAAATCAATGAAACCAATTACTTTGGTTAGGATGACATGACACTCACTTGATGAATAGCCAGTCGGGAGGCCGGACATCGTCGGGTGATGGGTAAACGCACCAACTCGGTGAGAAACAACACGGGACAGGTGAGTAGAAGTAGTTCACAGTCCAAAATAATCTGGGAATAAGGGAGAAGGTTTTTATGAAATTCACGAATTCGGCGGAAAACAGCGAACTGTGATAAATGAAAGGTCTAGTTGTTTCAAGCAACCTTATGAAATGAAAGATACTTGACCGTGAGTAAAAAGGCCGGTTGCTTTGTGGTTAATGCAATAAAGCTTGGTGCATGGATGCTGTAGTCGGGGTTTTGGCCTACTCGTTGAAAATGGGACAAATCCCGAATAAAGAGAAGCAGATTATTAGTTCAAGTCCATAGCAAATCAAAAAGGTTGATACATCATCATCACCATCGTACCAAGAAATAAAGTGAACCGAACGTGACTGACTGCCGATAAAATCCCAATGCATAGGAAATTAACGAGCATATGTAAGGTGGATGGGGATGGAGCCTATTTTCATGGAAGGGGAAAGAAAGCGAACCTCCACGGTCAAGACACAGAGTGCACAATCTAACTGAATATGCATAACTTTCAAGCATTACGGGCCGGATAATAAATAACAGGAACGTCACTCCTGCTTGTTCACTGCGACAGCCACTAGTGCCATNCGAGATACAGTGAAACGAGCTTCACTGATCGCTGCCAAGCTCACAATGTACACAAATCAAATGATAAAGCAAAAGATGGAGAGGGGTTGGGCCTACTTGGAGGGAGGCAAAGAAAAAGAACCTCTGTGTTCAACACACAGAGTACACAATCTAAGTGTGCATACATACTTTTTCAAGCATTCCGACCTGATAAGAAATGACAACAAGAACGCTACTGCTGTCGGTCAGTCGCCATATCCTATATTGTCAGTCAACCAGTTGTAGTCTTTCGGACCCCAACCTAGAAGACGGGAAACGCCCATTCTACCTAATCGTTCTGTGTATTTCTTCATGCCTCGTTT